ATTACCATGACATTTTGTAGAGACATTCGTGGTGGCACTTTTCTTCTTGTGCCACTACAAGTTTGACTCATTTGTCTGTATAACTATTGGATGGATTTCTATGAAATCTGCTTCAGATGTTTATGTCCCCCTCAGGATCAATTGTACTAACTTTTGTGATTTCTTGAGACTTTTCATGTAGCGCCACAGCCATGTCAAAATTTGTCCATTAACTTTGTTTGTAACAAAGAACCTGTAAAAACAATGCCATTGCCATTACCCTGTGTTGCACCTTGTGTTTAGTGATAATTAGCAAATGTTAGCATTGTCATTGTGAGCAGCCTCACAGAGCTGCTATCATGGCTGTAGTCTTGTTGCTAGACTACTCCACTTTTTGTTATAACCCACTCAGCCATATGAATACTGACCTGCATCATGTTACTGATCAGCCAAAGAATTACTGCATCACTTTTGGACCATATATACAGTTTGCATGTTAGCATAATGTTATGCTGACCGAGAGCACACACAGTAAGACCTCTTATACTGTGTAGTATAATAAGTGTGTAGCGTACAGTTCACTTTATCATGTATCCTTCGCTGTCTCCTTGAACTGTATGTGAGGTCCAGTTTTCCAGTGCCATTTGTGTCAACATTTACTCTCCTGCTTCATATGTTGATATGTCTCTTCATCACAAATCTGTGTTTTTATTATTCTCAGTTGGACCGATTAGTCCGATTCGGACTATATTTTATTAGTCACAACTGGCTTGTAATGTTTTATCTAGTTTTATTAAGAATATTTCACACACTTATCTGAGGCCTCTGTCTTGTTGTAAAAACTCTAAATTCCTCTGCTGAGCTGGATCAGAGCAACGTGTCAGTGAAAACATATTAATAAACATTCTGTACATGTGTCAGCCACCTCTATAATGCCAGGTCTCAGCTGAGTAAGCACAGTATAGAAATCCCATAATCATTTCTGAATGTGCCCAAAAGGCCCAAACATGCAACCCTCAACCTGCAAACCTCTTGGTCCACATCCAAACCATGTCTCATGTTCCTCGTACATATCTACACACAGGTCAGAGGTAAGAGCTGTACCATGAAATTAATCCGCTCTACATTGTTCAACTTTATTAGAGCTGACAGCTTTATAAAACTACATAGACTCCCTGGAGCTGAGGACGAGTAATGAACCAGCACAAATTAATACTTTTGAAACCCTTAGGTGTTAAAATATCAGCTAGGGATGTTAATGGGCAATATATATGCCTTTTCTCTTTTCCTCTTTCTTTTATGCCTTTTACTGAAAAAAATATGCTGAATAGGTTTCAGTTCTAAGGTGGAAAATGTCAAGTGATAGTTCTGTTGAATTATTCATTGAGGCTCAAAGTGGTTGTTCCAATGCAATGCAAGACTGTTTTCACGCGGTTTTGGCCTGGTGATGCTTTTCTGTTTGAATTGGAGAACCTGCAGCAGGAAATCTTGTCTCCTGTGATTTGTTTCTCTCCAAGGAAAGAGAGGATGCATGGTCTGTGGCACAACTTATCCCACCTGTCTGAGGTGTGGTGCAGCCGCTTTTTATCACCATCAAAATAAGTAGGTAACTCCTTATGAAGGTTATTGAAAGTGAGACATTTCTCAAAACTTTTCCTCTTCGAACCTGCATCAAGACATATTTAACAGACAGTATTATGATTAAACCGAATGACTCCCTGTAATGTGAAATAGGTTGCTCATACTGCTGAACCCACTAAAAATCAACACTCGACTCGCTGGTGTCGTGCCAGAGCCAGGCAAGCGGGCAATATAACCGGGCCCAGCAGCCTCTGTCGACATATCGTCAGCTAATGGCGGAGGCGAAGAGACCAAAGAGGACATTGACGGAGCATAGCTAAGACAATAAAAAGAGAGAGTGACCGACCAAGAGACTGGGTGGCAAGCTAGCCAACAAAGCTTGACAGCAACCGGTGCAAGAGATGTCCGAGTGTGTTATCTTGTAAGTTTGCTAACATCGACTGCAGATTTATAGCCTGCGGCTAAACCTCTGTCTGATTTTGCTCGAGTTGGCAACTTTGCTAACACAGAGTTAACAAGTGCAACAACAAGTTGACCAAAGAGGACATTGACGGAGCATAGCTAAGACAATAAAAAGAGAGAGTGACCGACCAAGAGACTGGGTGGCAAGCTAGCCAACAAAGCTTGACAGCAACCGGTGCAAGAGATGTCCGAGTGTGTTATCTTGTAAGTTTGCTAACATCGACTCCAGATTTATAGCCTGCGGCTAAACCTCTGTCTGATTTTGCTCGAGTTGGCAACTTTGCTAACACAGAGTTAACAAGTGCAACAACACAAGACACAGCAAACCAGCAAATACGTTATTACTTACTAGTCTACTTATTACTTCTACTTACTTACTAGACCAGCTCAGCATCTTTATCTTGCATCCTCTCAGCTCTTTTAGCTCACGCCAACAAGTAAAGCCAGTCTGATATTTACTCTTGTCTGGTCTCTTGCTCGGCCACTCTCTCTTTTTCTCTTCCTCACTTACTCAGACGTCATCATTTTCGGTCTTTCTGCATCCTCTGCCATGATATCCATGCTGAGAATACTGAACTATCTTCTTCTAAAGAACTTAAATGTAAATTATATACTTTTTGCTTATTCTTGTAGCTTGCCTGCTGAAGATTTGTGTTAGTGCCGTCGTCGTGATAAATGTCCTACTGCACTATGATTCCAATGTTACATAGCGCAGTGTCTAGCGCAGTGAGCCCCGGTTGGTAATGACAATGACACTGTTCACCCTATTACAAGTCAGTGTACATTCAAAATGAATGTTAAGCTGTTATGTTAAGATATAATTACAACATAATGTTGCTTTAAATGACAAAATATTGTTTGTCCATGTCCTCTGGAACGACACGTAGAATTGTTTTCTGATCTGTGTCCGCAATTGGCAGGACGCCATTTGTCTGTGCCTTCCTAAACCGTTACAAATCGCTGTTGGTAAAGAAATCAGTTTTATAATGTGACAACACTGTGGTTAAGGTTTGGTTAGGTTTGAAAACAATGTCAATCAGGTGTAGAGAGGCCTCAAGGATTGGATTAAAATGATTACTTCGTTAAGGTTTGGGAACCTTCCTCGTGGTTACAATAATAAACACTTGGTTACGGTTAGGGAACAATTGTGGTGGTATGTTTTAAAAACAAGCAAAAAAATGTTTCCTCATCATTTTGATTTTAAAAAGTAATTTACACAGCATTCTGTTTCTCTCAGAATGGATTTGCTGTTGCAGATTAGTATATACCGTAAATTCTAGGAGACAGAGCGACCGGAGCGATACTGTGTGGCTCTCACCAACATTGACATACAAATTGCAGACAGTTTACTGCTAAACTGAAAGCAGTCACTGATGAAGAAAGTCAAACAACAACAAGGTATATATATATAACAAGGTAAAGTCCCAGATATTTTTCTCAGGAGTTGAAAGAACAAGTTAAAGCTCAAAGGAAAGTGAATACCGAGCTTCACTCAGGTGGGCAGAAACTCGACTCCAGTGGTATGCTCATGTTGCTCCATGTCTGCTGGGTAGGCATTTGTCTGCTAACAGGCCAGACGTAACATCATGATAAGCCGATCCAGGGTAATTTTCTGTAAATTTGTTTTTAACCTCTCTGCCCCTAACGGTCGAAAATCACTTTATGTAACTTTAAGTCAATGAAATATACAAGGAAACACTGCTTTTGACAGATAAAATACAAACATGTATAACTAATTTTATTCCATATGACTTTATTGAAAAAGGGCTTGAGTATCATAGCTAAAATACTGCCTCTTGGTTTACAAACAGTGACAATACAGAGGATAATGCTCTAATAGGTCTCACTTATATAAAGAATATGTGTCATAAGCTGCCTCAAAAGAAAAACAATTATTTCACATTGTCTCAGGGTCCAAAGTAGAACACATGCATTCACTTTTGATTCATTTGTTATCTCACTAATTGCAAGTAAAAGTGAACCTGAATTTGAAATTGTTCCAAATATTACACCCAAAAACTTTGTGTAAAAGCTCTATATATTTTTTCTAAAATGTTAAATGATTCCACAGGGGCCAAAGCACTAAACATAAAGCACTTAAAGTCTGATTAATAAAACAAATGACCTGTTATTACATTTGTATCTCATTAATGTAAATCAGTAATGAAACTAGTGCTGCTAACAGTATGGTTAATACTTTTCCTGTTATTGAGATAATTATCACATTATAAATTAGAAAGTTTACAGAAGTTAAAAAAACAACCTATTCCCTAGATTATGGAGTAACGCTACAGTTTAGTTAACAAACCAATTTGGGAATGGATGGCGGTTTTGTAATGAAATTAAGACATTATTGCATTTGGAAATTTTTATCTTATTTAACAATGTGTTTAAACAAATTAGTATAATAATATAAAATGAATGTCTATTAACTTCTATTATATTCATGGGAAATTAATAACACTTACAGGATTATTGCAACATTAGCTGCAAATTGATATGATTATCACCTGTGGGCAGGCATTCAGCAAATAGACCATGTAAAACAAACACACAAAGACCATAACAATGACCGCCAGGACTTCCATTACAGTTTTAGGGGAAGAAAAGGGGCTCTAATTCTGCGGCATGACAGAAGTTGAGTGTAACAGGAAAAAAAAGCCCATGGGGTGCTGGGAGTGTCCAGATTGAAAGCACATGTTGGTCGCTTGGATCTCAACTCAAAGGTTTTGTTCTGTTTTGGCTCAGTGGCTCTATTGACACATCATACATCAGCCTCAGTAAAACTATTAAAAAAAACAAATCAAGTGTTCGACGGGGGACGACTGGTGGGCTGTGCTGAATAGTTTCCTGACTCATGTAACACAATGACAGCAGCTTTTGTTTTCAGTCACTGTGTGTTGGACTTCACCCGTGTTACATTTGGTTGATAAGGAAACGGTGTGGAGAGGACAACAAACCAGAAGGACGATACTAAATTTTTTTAACCAGATTTTACCACAAAATAACATTTTATTCCTTTGAAAAAGGAATGTGTTGCATACTGTGTATAACATATTTGCAAACAACTCATTACATATTTGTGAAATATTGCATGAAATCTTTAAAATGAAGTTTAATACATTTCTTGCATTGTATGGACTAGCCTTCATTTAGTAGCTACTGCCTACTGTACATTGCATTAACAAAAGCATTTAGTAAGATTATACACAATATAAAAATAAAACACTTACATTTAAAGACTCACATGATAATAAAGTGGCTCAAATATATGAAAAAAGGATAACTTTTTTTTTGTCACCGTGAACATTCTCTTTGTAACAATTATAATTCAGTTGTTTAATGTGACGAAATATTAGCTTTTCATTCCTACCAAGGACAGGTGTTGGTATGAACATACTGCAGCTGATTTACTCTGTTGTTGTGATATACATTTAACTTCTCCCTTTTGATACCCTTTGGGTAAAACATTAAGAATTATGATTATCTTCTACATTTTTCTAAGGATAAATGAAATAGGAAGTCATGCTTTTTGAGGTTCACAGGTTTCTTCGTGTTTTGTATGTTTTACTGTATAAATATTTGGTCTCTGTTTACTGATATGTTCAATCAACAAAAAGCTGCATTGATAAGTATTATTCCACTTCTTTATAGTATTTATCAGTACAGTATAGCTTTGACACAACATCAGCTTTCTATATCAGACTCTAACAACAGCGCTTTCAATATTTTGTGACTGGAAAAAACATAATTGTGTTTCATATAAGACATAGAGGTCACGACATCTCATCTTAAAGCTTGCATAAAATAAACTGTGAAAAATAATTATGTCAATGGCTCTGACCCCTTATACTGAATGTATAGCACCATCAAATCAGTGCTTGTTCCTCAGCAGTGTTTGTGAGCTTCCATCTGTTTTGCTCCTGATGGTGGCGCAAGCTTGAAGACAATTCATGATATTGTTGTAGCATGGCCTGCCCTGATTGGTCACTGCTTGTGACCCCATTGGCCAGCCTCTCTGTGTCTGTCCCATGACCCCCCAAGTCCTGGACTAATGCCTAATTCACCTCATATGAGACGTCTGAAGAGGTATTTAACATCACCATCTTAAATACTTTTAATTACAGTAAATGATAAGTAGAATGCACTCTTTTCAAAACCCAATAAAGTTGAAGTAAGTGTATTGCTGTAAATATATTTTCACTTGGGTGACGATATGCCTTGTGTAAGACAGAAAGCTCAAGTTGTTCCTTTATAGTCAGAAAATACTAGAGTTAGTTCATGTGAATCACATTCAAACACACACACACACACACACACACACACACACACACACACATCTGATATCAGAATGTGTCCCGTCAAAGTCTCTAAGGTATAATTGGGATGGCACGATTTGGCGGTGAAGTGCTGGTTCTGCAAGCGGTCCAGAGAGGTCCAGACAGGTACACACAGCGTGTTTGCATACATCCATAGTAGTGACAGGGAGATGTACAGGTTCTACTCAGGGATGGTAGATCTGACCACATACATGTCTTCCCCTTGTGTTTAGTTTTTCTTGTTAGTGCGTCTCTTAGATTTCTTCACCCTGGAGAGAGATTCAGAAGGATGAGTTATTTATTAGACTGAAAAAAAGGAGTCCATCTCTTGAAATAGACGATATGAATGGGCAGCAAGGCACTTATGAAAAGAATACACATGGTCATGGACATGTTAGGGCCTCAGGTGTTTGCAAACATTTTTGATAGGTGAACATCAAAATAAATGTAATTTATGTGTAACTGTAACTGAACATTGAAAAGGGTGATGCTGACAAAGAGCAGCAATGTTGTAAATAAAAAAACTCCCTCCCTCTATAAAAAAGGTTTGAAATGAGAAGAATTCAACGTTTGTTCCTCTGTCCCTTTGGGGACATCTCATTGACATAATGCATTACCTTGCCCCTTATCCCTAACCTTAACCATCAAAACTACATGCCAAACCTTAACACTTATGCTAACCCTAACCTTAACCTAAATGTAAACTGAACCCTAAAACCACAGTCTTTCCCTGTGAGGGACAAAAATATGGGGCCCCATGGGTAGAGACTGCTGTTTTAGGTTTAAGGGGACAGTCCCCATCGGTTCTTGTGCATTCAGGTTAAAGGACTGTTCAGAAAAAACTAAAGTGGTACATTACAAGAACAAGCTTGGAAGAATAGGGTTTTACAAGTTTTTTTCAGTCATTAGGGCCCGAGCACGACCGTGCGAGGTCCCTATTGAATTTGCTCGGATTATTTTTTTTTTTTTTTATTTTTTTTTTTTTTTTTTTTTTTTTTTTCTGCAAAGTAGGCCCAAATGACATGGCCTAAACATACTCGAAAACTCACCAAAATTTGCAAACATGTCAGAACCGGTGAAAAATTTCGTATTCTACAAGTTTCGCACATGGGCGTTGCAAAATGACTCGCTAGCGCCACCTAGAAAATTGGAAAAAATTAGCCCCTCGTTCACGTTCAACCTACATCTACGAAATTTTCTGGGGACATGTATCATGTCAAGACGCACAAAAAAGCCTCAAGAACCCATAGCCTAAAGTCAACAGGAAGTCGGCCATTTTGAATTTTATGGCCATTTTTGGATGATTTACACACTTCGTACTTTAACAAACTCCTCCTAGGGATTTAGTCGGATCGACGTCAAATTTCTGCTGTGCCTTCTAAAGGCATTGACGATGAAAAGTTGTGCTATTTGCGAGTTTTCGTCAATGGGCGTGTCCGTGGCGTCGATGATTCGCTATGAAACAGGAAGTTGTTGTAACTTCAGTGTACATGCTCACATCTGGACCAAACTGTACATCTAGGATGAGAGTCCCGCCCTGAACACATGTACATGCCGACATTCACCCACAGTCATAGCGCCACCTGCTGGCAACAGAAAGTGACCTTTAACGAAGCAGCCCCCGCCGCACGTTTCACCTACGTGCACGAATTTTCTGTGGTACGTGTATCTTGTCCAGACGCACAAAAAAGTCTCTTGGAGCCATAGCCTAAACCCAACACGAAGTCGGCCATTTTGAATTTTACGTCAAATTTTGGATGATTTACACACTTCGTACTTTAACGAACTCCTCCTAGGGATTTAGTCCGACCGACCTCAAATTTCTGCTGTGCCTTCTAAAGGCATTGAAGATGAAAAGTTGTGCTATTTGCAAGTTTTCGTCAATGGGCGTGTCCGTGGCGTGGCGTCAAAGATCAACTCTTCGCCATGACACGGAAGTTGTCGTAGCTTCAGTGTACATGCTCACATCTGGACCAAACTGTACATGTAGGATGAGAGTCCCGCCCTGAACACATGTACATGCTGATATTCACCCACAGTCATAGCGCCACCTGCTGGCAACAGGAAGTGACTTTTAACGAAGCAGCCCCCGCCGCACGTTTTACCTACGTGCACGAATTTTCTGTGGTACGTGTATCTTGTCCAGACGCACAAAAAAGCCTCTTGGAGCGATGCCCTAAAATCAACAGGAAGTCGGCCATTTTGAATTTTACGTCAAATTTTGGATGATTTACACACTTCGTACTTTAACGAACTCCTCCTAGGGATTTAGTCCGACCGACCTCAAATTTGTGCTGTGCCTTCTAAAGGCATTGAAGATGAAAAGTTGTGCTATTTGCAAGTTTTCGTCAATGGGCGTGTCCGTGGCGTGGCGTCAAAGATCAACTCTTCGCCATGACACGGAAGTTGTCGTAACTTCAGTGTACATGCTCACATCTGGACCAAACTGTACATGTAGGATGAGAGTCCCGCCCTGAACACATGTACATGCTGACATTCACAGACAGTCATAGCGCCACCTGCTGGCAACAGGAAGTGACTTTTAACGAAGCAGCCCCCGCCGCACGTTTTACCTACGTGCACGAATTTTCTGTGGTACGTGTATCTTGTCCAGACGCACAAAAAAGCCTCTTGGAGCGATGCCCTAAAATCAACAGGAAGTCGGCCATTTTGAATTTTACGTCAAATTTTGGATGATTTACACACTTCGTACTTTAACGAACTCCTCCTAGGGATTTAGTCCGACCGACTTCAAATTTGTGCTGTGCCTTCTAAAGGCATTGAAGATGAAAAGTTGTGCTATTTGCGAGTTTTCGTCAATGGGTGTGTCCGTGGCGTGGCGTCAGAGATCAAGTCTTCGCCATGACACAGGAAGTTGTTGTAACTTCAATGTACATGCTCACATCTGAACCAAACTTTACGTGCTTGATAACTCTCCCACCCCGCTATGGAGGACCGATCCTGACACAGTCAGAAATAAATACAGAAATAAATAAATGCTCAATAAATAAATAAGCATCCAATTAAATACACAAAAAAATTAAGTAAATAAATAAATGTAGGTAGTAATTAAATTATACAAGGAGACATAAATGTATATATTTTAATTAGTGCCTTTACTTATTCACCTTTGTTATAATTACCTTATTTGTTTATTCAACTTTATTTATTACTAATTTTTTTAATGTATTATTTATGTGTGTGTTTTAATATTTTTGTCTGTTTTATTCTTCCTTTGTATTTATTTACCTTATTATTTTCACCCATGGTATTTATTTCTGCCTGTCTTTTTTAAATTTTTGTATGCATTTCTGCCTCATTATGCAAATGAGGAGGGGCTGTGTCTCAAGGGGTCATCTTCTCTGCTATTGGTGGACCAGTCAGACAGGAGAGCTCCTACTCTGCCTGCAGACATCAACGATCTTGCCCCTCACACAGTCAGATGGCTTCCTTCAGTGCGCTGAGGTGTTTAACAACTCTGAAGACAATACTACCAGCAATGTCTTCCTTCTCTTTTCACGTAGAAGCACCGACAGACAGTGCTTTCAGTTTGCTGCATGCATGGACACAGAACTGCGGTATAGGGAGAAGCACACGGTCAGCTGGCTGCAGCTAAATCTGGAGTGCACTCGTATTCAATTCTGTATGGTAAATTCAGTTTTAACGGAGCAGAGCGAGCTGACAGGCAGAGTTAGAGACTTTTCTGTCTGTTTCTCTCTTTACAAAGACGCATGTTGCAGTCAGAGTCTTCTCTGAGATGCGAGCACGACATACAACACAATTTATCAAATTACACAACGGATATACAGTATGAAAATAAGATTGATTGGATTATACTCACAGGACGTATAAAACTCTTACATGGGTCTATTAAAAGTAAAGTAACACAAAAATGTCAGGGAAATTACTTTACTTAGATTTAAGTACTGCAGTTGTACATTTGAAATACCTTCCTACCTTTCTGATAGGAAGCCTTCTTGAGGTGGTAAAACATTTCTTCTTATATTCTGATTTGAGTTGTGGACAACTATGACCACATGAATTAAAAAAACATTTCACTGCCCAAGTCAGCTATAACACAAGTCTTGATCATCAGACTACATGCTGTACAGTATTTGTGGACAGATTTTGTCCCAGGATTTCTTATGCATTTCTTCTTCTTCGTTGCATGATTTAGAATAATAAGGTGAGAAATGGGTCTATTCTGAGTTCATCCTGCACTGCAGCAGCTAATAAAGTCCATTTAATCCCCAAAACGCTTTTCTTTTAGGCAGGCTGGAGCAGAAAACAACTCACCTTTCTCAAGTTGTACAGTAATGTCACATGTGTATGAAGGTGGATCAAACAAGCTAATCTTAAATGTCAAAGTAGAGAGGAGCCTAGTAGGCCTATTTATTTTCATTCATTACACAATATGAATAAGCTATGCAGACAGTTGTAAAGAAAGAACATCTTTTCTTCTGTTCTCTACTTGTTATAGTTACACAGTATTAGGGGTGTGGGCTGTATTAAAAGTATCCACTGTTCTCCCATGCTCTAACACACAGTAACGATGAAATGTGTGCTGTTCTCACATTCTTCCTCTGTATCTACACATAAACAACAAGGCAGGGAAATATAAAAGGAATTTATTTTATTGTTTGGGTACATTATTGTTCAGTGTACATGCTCACATCTGAAACAAACTTTACGTGCTTGATAACTCTCCCACCCCGCAGACATCTACACACCAATACCGATTTATATTCATAGCGGCAAGTGCTATGTAGCTCCACGTAGGGGACACAGGAAGTGACATATAGCACCTTCATGCGGCGTCGGAACCGCGTAGGAAATTCACAGCCGCACCGGCAGAGCTCCAGAATGTGCAACTCGGCCGGCTCACGTGCGGACGCGCTACTAGTGCGAGGGCCCGCCCAACGCTGCTTGCAGCTTTAATTAATATATTTGGGTTTTTGGGGGGGGGGGGGGGGGGGGGGGGGGGGGGGGGGGGGGGGGGGGGCTCATCAGACAATAGCCACATTTTTTCTTGTAAATTTAAACTTTAAGTCTTGGAAATAATTGCTCCTTACAATGGCCCTTATACACAGACATGAACACCACTGCTGTAACACAGGATTTTGCTGTGAACACTCCATTCATTCAAGACTCCTATCATGAGTGCTGAAACAGCGCAAAGACACATTAACACACTTAACTAACACTAACACTAAACTTTGTAACTGCAGTTTTATTCATTTTCACATTTTTTCTGTATATGAAACCTTACTGAAAAAGCTTAAATTCATGGGTAAAGGCTGCTTCTCAGCTGACAAAACTAAGGATGTGTTTAACTTAGCTCTCTCTACCTACCTCAATGAACAGTGATAACTCCCAGGACAAAAACTACATTTAAAATATAATCTGTATTCACGTAAGTCCTTTACTAAAACAATAAACAATATTTCGTAATTCACAGAAATGACTTTATTGTTTGTTTTCACATTGCTTTTAAAGTGTTTAATGGTATTTTAAGTAGCAGTGCTAATCACCACCAGACATGTTGGGAAAAATTATTTTATGAGGAATGGACACATTTTAACTGCATGCTCATTAAAAACTGAATGAGCTGCTGCAGTTTTTGCTATGAATAGTTTTCACCCACAATGGATGGAGCAACTCTGTCGCTGTTTTGCACTTAGTGATTAAATTAAATGGAAATAAAGAAATCATGTTAAAATACAATAAAAAACATGATTAGGTGCTTTAACTGCTGTGAGCGAGCTGGGAGGGAAAACAAGATGAACATTTGACTCTTCTGCAGGCTTGGCTGAAGTCTCAGACACATCCGTGTGAGAGAGAAGGACACAGTCAAACCAGTGGCAGATTTATCACTATTCTTTCTTGATGCTAATTATTTCACAGACAATAACTCAGCTGCTTACATCAACCATGTCAGTGATTTCAGAGAGTAATCATCAGCAGGAAACTGAGAAATGGCCATTTTTAACAGCAGTTTATTTTTTTCTTTGTAAGATCTAAACTCACTGGAGAAGAGAGCTGTATTTCATTTCTGCCTTTGTCAGCGTAGCTTGTGTGTGCTGAGAGAGAGAGAGAGGAGGGTTTTTTTCTCACTTGTTAATGGCATTCTTTAAGTACTGCTGCAGCCACTTGGTCTCTGGGTTGATGCAAACTTCCCTGTTGTTCTTCAGCTTGGCACTGTGGGAGAAAAAAAAGTAGAGTTTGAGGGATTAGGCGCCACATTCTGGATATTTCTGCTAAACTGTCCCGAATGGATGAATTTCACTGTCAAGTGATTATTTGTGTGATTATCCCGTTTTAACATTGAGGTGCATGTTTGGTTTTATAACTGTACACTGTTGCTTACATGAAGCGGGAGCAGCAGAGATAGAGAGAGGGAACAAATAATTTTAGTCTAACCCAAACTCACATGTAATAAATCAGGTTCAAGGACGTGTACTGGAGAATGCTTTCACCTCTGGCCTTCCTTTGTAGCCCAGCATCCGGTGATGGTGTACAGTACAGAGATTGTATCCATTGTGTTAGCTGAGTGGTCAACCAAACTGTAACAAGACCTCTCAGTAACCCCAAGGAAATGTGACTGGCATTTTAATTAACATGGATGCTTGAAAAAGCTCATTCAAGTTCCTTTGTTGGTTCTCTTACTTTCCATTTTAGGGTTTATCTTGAATGAGCAGGTGGGTTTAGTTGCGAGAATGCATACATGTAAGCATATATGTGTTTATTTTGGCAAACTGGCACTATTTAAACTATGCTGAATTAGCTATTAGCAGTTCCTGTTTACAATTTACCTATAGCTGTAAAGACAACTATCAGTGCATTACTTTAATACAATACAATAAAGAAAATGATTCTCAGGTAAGTTCTGGGATTATAAGTGACTTTTTAAAATGTTTTTAATTTTTGGATGTTAATTGACGAAGTTATAACTGCGAGATTGTGTATGAATTCTGACTAATTGGGTGCTAAAGATTTTAAAGTAGGCTACCTTACTTGCCTTTTACCTCACATGTCTCTCTCTGCACCCCCTTTCAACTCTCCCTGAGTTGCTCTAATGCCTCTTGCACAGAGCCCGCAGTTTCAATTCATGACAGTACCCATTGAATCAACCTGGATCTTGATTGATAGAGGTAAACCATCCCAACAAACCTCAGTCATATTATGTCTGTGTAGAAAGATTTTTTAAACCTCCCTTCAAAGGTCGGCGTGTCCTTGAATGCACCAAGAACATTTTTAGAACAGTTCTTCACACAGCCAAAAGACCAAGCAACAATAAATATAACTTTGACTTCAAATAAAAGTGAAAAATTCTTGACTGTGATGTTTCACCTTACTCAAGCAAGTTTAAACTCTCTGCAAGTTGAAGCATGAAGTGCTGAAATGAATGGAAAAGAATGACTTCTTGCAACGTAAGACAATAAACCCAACATAGCCTATAATTATAAATGTACTACACAGGCAATTTGTTGTTTTTAAACTTAAACATACAGACCACTGGTATCATTTTTAAACCGAAATGTGCTATTATTAATATTTATGAGATAATGTTCTAAAGGCCTTTAACTTGAGCATTTGTATGGTTAATAAATCACAATAACAACATCATCATTTCTTATGGAAGCTCAATTCAACAAAAGCTCAACTTCATCTCCAAACCCCCGCCAGAATGTCTCACAACACATCCCAGTTAAAACCAGAGGATTACTACTTCTAACAGGCTGTCACCTTAATGTCAAGAGTAAAAAAATCACGCAGGTGCTGCTTAATTTAACATCAGCTAACCTGTAGTATTTTTAACTAAAAAAGGAACCCAAATTCTTTTGTCAGTTCACCTCTTGACATAAAATAAAAATATCTGCTCTATTTATGGTTCGACTTGTTGTGTTGAATCAATCAAGGGACCATGATGTTGAAATGGGCACAATATGTCAGGATAATATCTGATATGGTTTATGAAGGCTGAGCTCAGAAACACCTCAGCTAAGCTTTAAAAACTTCAGCACATCCTGCAACACATCAAAGCTGAGAACCAGAGGATTACTGTGCATAACAGGCTGTCATTCTCTGATCAGCAGTGAAAAATCACAGCTCTCTGTTTCCACTCAGGCACAGCTGGAGGGGAGGCACACATCACACTGTACTGTATGGCTTGTAAAGCTGTCTCTACACTGCACAAAAAAACATTTTAACTCATAGTGTGATGGAGAAGCATCAAGCTCAGGCTGGTTTGGTTTAAAAGGTTTGAAAGTCATGAGTGATACTGGATCCTAAATTGTGTTAATTAGGGGGATTATTATACCTGCCACAATTATTTTAGGACCCTGTAAAACAAGTAAAGCTCCAGGTCTCCACTTATTTGTTTAGGCAAAGGGAGTGTGGAAGACTTTTCTACAGGATCCAACTGGATTTATGGCAAAACATCCAAAGGGCCTGTTTAAGTTCTGTTTAAAATGCTATTTTGTGTTTTTTTATAGAATGAAATCTTGTAAATGACTAGAATTTTCTTCATGATTGTTTAGTTGTAGTTCTGTTTCTGCTGCTTATCTTGTCCAGAACACACTTCAAATTTTTTTAATCTCAATTAGGCATTCCTGGTTAAATAAAATAAAAACATAATTTTCATACATTTTCATGTAATGGACTTTTGATTATGCAACATATTTCAAGAAACTGTAAATAAAATGTATCTTGAAAAGCTGAATGATTCCATTCACAAAAACATTTTCGTTGGACATTTTGATTTTTAAAAGAAAAAACATGCATTTTCCTCAATGCTTGGAGAAAATTTGGATTTCAAAACGTAGTATTGATCGATTGTGTTTTCTGATCAGAATGAATATTATTTGCTTTCATATATTTATAAGGCTTTTGCGGGATTTCAGGATGCTCCCACTTTGTGATGAACAGCTCTGTGGTCACAGAGAGTGTGTTGCGAGTGACGTCTTGCCTGTTGATGGAGAGCTGAGCCAAATATTTAGGAGAGGATTTGTTCTGTTATCAGACACAGCTGGGTGAGTTTCAGATCTGCCAGGGCGAACATGGGGGCAGGCAGCGGGGTCTCGTCCCCTCCAAGCATGTGGATCTCACACCTTGGTGGTAAAAGGTCGTGTATGAGAGTTAACAACTCAAGAGGTGTCTCGCCTCACTGCTCCTCTTTCTTTTCCCTGCATCTCTCCATCACAGCTTTGCAAATTAAACACATTCCTATGCGCCTCAAACTGCTCCCTCATCACTGCTTTCTGATTCAATCTGAACCCCTGCACTCTCCTCCAGCCCTGCTGCCCCGTTAACACGCCACCTCCCCTGTTCCTCGCCCCATTTAGATGCACACACACGAGCAAATGGCCCTTAAACTTAAAAGAGCAGTTCAGGAGCCTCAATCCAAGCATCAGCCCCAAATCCCTCAAACTAACATGCGAGTCAGGAGGCCAAACAGCTCAGTAACTGGATCTGTGTTTGCTTTTCCTCAGGGATGTCCGATTCTTCCCCTCCTTTTATTTTATTAGGGGTGGCTAGCTCATCCTCTCTGGAGCTTTTTGTTGCTGATGTGTCTCTCTTCATCCTGTTTATCTGTCTGTTTGTCTGGATGAACAACTGAGAGCCTAAACCTTAATTGACTTGGCTGGAATTTGAGGGCCGGAGTTCCACAAGCAGCAGGTAGTAATTACTTCACAGCAAGTTAATACCAACAGCATGCTGGGACGTGGGGGGGGGGCGGTGTGGGGATGGAGGGTAGGATGAGGGCACAGGGTGGGACACGGGGTGGGAGGGCAGAGGGTGTAGTGTTACTGGCTTTCTTTCATCTGCCTCAATAGAGATATCGGAGCAGCTCTGCAGGCTCCTCGTCTGAATGACTTCTTGACTCCTCTGGCAGTTTTCTGGAGGGAGGTTAGAGGGAGTTTGCTGTGTTCTGGCCAGCGTGCCATGTGTCCTCTCTGACCTTTTGCCACTCGCCCACCCTTCCTGACAGTCACCAGCCCCCCTCCCTTTTTGGCAGAAGCCCCACAGCCTTTTAGCCTTTTGGCTGTGAGGCTTCTGCCATCCTGTTTTCTAATGCAAACAAATGAATGGGGCTTTTTAGTTAATGTGTTCCTAGACCAGTGACAATTACAGTCAATGCAGTTTGAGGCAGGAAATAAAAAAAATGGAAGAGGGAATACAGGGGGTCAGCAGAAATACAAAGGTAATCACTTTGACCCTTAATTATTGCTTCCTTTACAAAACATAAATAGCCCCCACGAGCTCCGGCCTTTACCACTTTCCTCTCTCTGAGTGGATCGTGTTGTTTTAAACTCAGACCTCTCATTAGGGAAAGAATGGAAGGATATTAACACCATTCTTCGTACATCCACTCTCAATCTATATACACTGCATTTAGTTACTTATTCAAGTCAAATAATGATGAATAGTGAGGGAAATAAACACTAAAAAAGTAAACACATAAAAATTAAGAAAAAAGCACCTGGCCTGTCAGAAGGATTTGATGTCATGTGACACAATCTGATTTTGTGGAAATTGTGGAATTATCAATGAGAATCTAATAAAAATCAAGGATGGCAAATTTGTCAGCATCTTTAATCTGAAAAAATGACCACTGTTGTTCACTAATTTCAGTGTATTTTGAAGGGAAACAGTTGATTATTGATACTTGCTTCAAATGTACTTAAATGTTCTATTTTATGTGCATGTGTGTGAGTGTTTCATTATTATTTTTTTTCATCGAATAAAAATTTAAATTAATAAATAGGCCCAAGAATATAATGGAATTTATATATATATATATATATATATATATATATATATATATATATATATATATATATATATATATATATATATATATATATAATCCTTTAAGCTACATTTTATTGTGATCATTTGGTACATCCCCACTTATTGCATTCCTAAAGATTCTCTACACCCAAATGGCGTTAAATTAACTGCATCTCACTATGAAAATGTTTGAGATCACACTCACTCGCACAAGCACAATATGATGAGATCGACCAGATACCACTGAGTGGAATTATTGCACACGATGCTTAGGCGTGCTTATGGGGCGCGGCCATTACTGAATACTAGAAACCTCACTCTGAGCAGCACCATTAAAATACAACTAAATACACCAAAATGTGAAAGAATGAGTGATAGAACCCTTTAAACAATCACCAGCAAATAAATGTCTTCAAGTTAATCACCACAGTAATGTTGCGCTCATTTACTTACATGACTTGGAAGGGGCAGTTGGGTGTGTGGAGGAACTTGAGCTCTTTGATGGACCGCTGAGGAACCGTGTTGAGGGTGGACCGACACCAGCACCGCTCTACCAGGCTGATGGGCTTTGCTGCAAAGACACAACAAGGAAAATTATGAATTAGCATTAGTGGTAGTGAAAGAAAAAGTGATGAAACTACAAAACAAGTAAAGTTGCAGTTAAAACAAGTAGACCACATTCATAGGGCTCAGTGTTGTGGGAACAAGGTGTCATTTCAGCTGTTCAACCTACAAATACATTAACCAATGTGGCAGAACTCAGACTTCAAGATATCTCATTTTGCACTGAAGCATTTTAGGTTTGTTAAACAGAAATGTATTTTTGCTAGTGGTAACTCACACATAATGAATTCAATTATTTTAATAAATATGCTGTATGCAGAAGTAGATAAAGGAACGGCTATATAGTAAACTGCCTACATCTACGTCCAAATAATTTAAATGTTTCATTGCTCATGAAACAGAGATTTGGTCATTCCGGTCCATATGAGGATTTAAATATTTACATCACCTTAAATTAAAATCCAAATTCCAAAATAGCAGCTTCTACTTAATTTCAGTTGTGATTAAATGCACCACTTACCTCAGTGGACAAATTAAAAGCATGTTTAATCTACTGTAACGTGCCTTCATAAAGCATGGGAACGTATGACTTTACCAGTAAATGCTCTGAACAACTTGTTCATTAAAAAGAGCTTAACTCCTTTTCTGACCTGTGTCTCACACAGACACACATGCAGAATTTCAGCTTTTCACTCCCATAGCATTCAGACCGGCCACTCTAATGGAGAAGGGTCCTCGACATTCAATTTCCAATATTTGCCTCTTTTATGAAAGAGCACTCAGCGGCTCAGACGGCATCAGCTGGCTTTGTACAAATGACCTCAAGAACATTCTTAAAATGATTACAAATCACCCCTGTGCCTCCATAGAGGCTTGTTGGGGACCCAGAGGGCCACAGATGCACACTAATAACTCCAAGTGCACGTTATTACAAACTGATTGTCGATTTGTACTTATTTGCCTTGTTTGAAATACAGTCTATGAATTTTCCAAAGAAATGATGATGTTTATAAAAATGTCAGTGAAAAGATGAAGAGAAACACCCTGTAATAAAACTTTAAATCTGGAATCCATCCTAATAGCCTTGATGCTGTATAAACCATGAATATAGCATACAAATAGTTCAAAAGACAAACCAATTCATTGAGGGTGCAGTGTATGTCAAGAAGTCACTTAGCAGATGCTGATTTTGACGACATTTAGCAAATTGCAACAAATCATTCTCTGTATCAGCCATTTCCTGCCCAGATAAAATCACTAAATGAAGTGCACCTGGTGTAACTAACAGACCTTTTAATTCTGGGGTTCAACATATTCCTATTGATATGGATGCAACACCAAATGTCCTGCCACAAATGGCTAAATCCTCAGTAATATGAGCCTAATGATTCACACCCATTCAGGGTCTTTTCTCATGCAAACTAAGGGATCATTATGCAGCACACAGCACTGGGGCCAGAAGCGAGCATCCACTTCTATCACCACTGCATTGTTTATCTCTAATTAGAAACTAATTAAAAGAAAGCAAAGGGAAAAGACAAATACACACATTTAGACTTAACTCTTTAATATGCAATCAGAGATTTTACCGGGGCCGAAACAACAAGCTTAGAATAACGCAGGCCAGGCGAGTCAACACCCCGGCTTGTCTCCTACCAAGGTTAACATGTGGGAGATTAATGTAGGGTCACTGTGGAAACTGCACTGCTCCTGTGGTACATTTAATCCAAAATACTAAATATCACAACATTTGGAATGTTTGAAATTATGTTTATTTATTTATTTTTTTGAGAAAACAAATTCCCTTAAATGTCACAAAAAATGCTGTGGTATTGTAGATTACTGATTACAATCAATATGTTTTAATTTAACTTCAATACTAGTAATCTGAGGCTGCAATTAACAATTATTTTCATTGCTGGTGAATCTGCTGCATATTTTCTAAATTCGGGATTTCAAGCTGACATCTTCATGTTGCTTGTTTTCTGCAACCAACAGTAAAAATCCAAAGATATTCAACATGCTTTCACAGAGATAATCAGCAAAAGAAATTGGATGAATAAAAAGTATTTGAAAAGTGAAATTTGGGCATTTTGCTTAAAAAAGGCTTAAACAATCAATTTTCTCAAAAAAGTTGCAGATAAATTTTCTGTGGATTGACTGTTTCAGCTCAGTAATCATTTAGTCCATACAGATAAATGGTGGATGGGATGTAAGTGTTTGGTAATTATTTTTCTATGTCTGAAACATGTGAGATGTAACAAAACAAAAGCAAAGAAGGTACCAAAGTGCTGGAGCCACAAGTGCAACAAGGGGCTTTGACAAAAAACTTTCTTTCTTGTCTGCAGCAAATTAAAGTCAATAAAACAAAGCAACTTCATAAGTTAAGCTTTGATAATGAAAAAGACGTTTAAACATGAAGCCAACAGAAATTTTCACTTAGATTCTAGACATTTACCTGATTATCTAATAAAGATGGAATTCAGAAATGTAAGAAAAGTTCCATCACAGCTAAGATTCAAATAATCCGGACAACAGAAGCCTCAACATTCAGACTATACACAACAAAATCAAAACTTTAAAACATGCTCAAACCAACAGTCACTCTGGATCACTAAAAACTGCCCGTGTCCCCTGTCCCTGTTTTGGACTCACCGTTGGAGGTTGGTACATGTGTGGCCACGGCCAGCAGAGCCATCAGGGCCAGCAGTTTGACATCCATGGTGATGAGCTAATAGGCTGCAGAAGGGGCTGCTCTCTCTCTAACTCTCTCTGCTACAATCCCGGGCACAACTGTGACCGTCCGCTCCACTCTGCACTTTGTTAAATCTTCAGATGGGAGAGTGAGAGAGTCCCACTTTCTCAGGAGGGAGGGGGGCGGGGTCCCAGTATGAGAGGAGAGGAGGGGAGGGGAGGGGAGGAGAAGGAGGGAGCACAGCAGCGAGTCAGCAGACACTTCCTCGATTGTAAATGTGTTGGCTGGGAGTCAAAGAGAAAGTCTGAGGAAAATTCTGTTCCTCACTTTCTTTCTTTTCACTGATTTCTCTCCATTTCATCTCTATTTCATCCTCTTTTTTTCTTCCCCTGCCATTTTTAACTGTATTCTCTCTGCCTCTTCGTGCCACCTGCCACCTGCCACACACACACACACACACACACACACACACACACACACACACACACACACACACACACACACACTCCACACACACACACACACACACACACACACACACTCCACACACACACACTCTACACACACACACACACACACACACACACACACATAATGGAGTACATTCAGCTTCCGTGCCTAACCAGTTCCTCACAGGCTATTTTCAGAGCCAAAGCTCCCTGCTGTTGGACTAATATTGTTGTATATTTCAGCTGAGTGTTGTGTTATTGTTCACAGTGACACAGATTGCTCTCTCTCTCTCTGTACCTCTCTGGCTGTGTCTCTTCCCACTTATTGACTCCCTGTCCTTTGGCTTGGCTCCGTCCACAACGCCTGGTTCATATGTTTTTTGGGCTCCTCTAGGTTTGACGTCAGTTTCACTGTCTGCTCTGTGATGAAACTATTAAAGGACTGTTTAGACTTCACAATTGTACCATGAGACGGGGAAAAGCTGTGAGGAATAAAAAATCTGAATAAGTGAATGTACGATTCATTGACTCATTAACAATTATAAGGAATAATATTTTACAGTGGAGAAAAAATTGTGGATACATTTTTAGAGCATTTTCAACATCTGACTGGGGACAACAGATGAAAAGAAGCCCTGGGCGAACTCCGAGTCATGTGTAGTTCTTTTTTCATTGATCAATAAGCATTACATATAAACTAACAAAATAAATATGTATACAATATACAGTAAGTATTCTATAGTATATAAAACATTTAGCAATGGATACATGATAGCTCAAAAATTATAAATTGTAAAGACAGAGGAACATTTTGCCATTTAGCATTTTGGGAATTACATAGTTGGCGACCTCACTTTAGGGGAAACAAAGGAGTGGTCTTCGTGTATCCTGATTACCTGGTGGTGCCCTTAATCTTCAGTAATGTTTTTGCCATATGAATAACTTTATTAATATTTCCAAAATATATTTGATATTTTGCTGCTAACCAAACCTGCCCCTATCAGATCCCAACAACATATTTATATTGTGCTTGCAAACACAAACCAATCTTATCATCTAACTTTTGGCAAGAAAGGGAATAAACACACACCCCAAACAGATGTGATGTGCTCTCACATGTTTCTGAAGCACTTATTCATACTGATAATCTGATGGAGATCTTCCAACTTCATCTGGAAATAAATGGACTTAAACAGTGAGCTACAATGTAAGTGGCCACACAAGTGTACAGATGTTGCTGTGCTGTCGGTTTAGTATTATGCATGTACGTGTGTCTGCAAACATGCATGCAATCATGCCTGTTTTTGTCACCTTTCCCGCCTTTCTGCTGCATTGCATCCAGCAGCTGGTAAATTGAAACTGGTTTTCATGCCAGAACTTGACGCCTCTCCTGTCAGAGCTGTTGGAGGTGATTCAAACCTCTCCACCCTCATCTACAGCCCCCTACCAGCACCACCAGCAGTAATAAAACCATACCCTGCTAAAGACCGCCTGTCAATTCATACACTGAAACCCCCCTGCAGTTTACAAGCCCATACCATGTCAGCGTGCTGAGAGAGTACTTGCAGGTCTGAGCCCTGTTGTAAGCTGTAAACCTGAGAGGGTGTTTACTATTAACCAGAGAGTCATCCAATATAACTGCTATTAACAGTGGGGAGATGAAACCGAGCTGTGAAGGGACTAACATCACATTAACTCACAGGAATTGACTTTTTTTGACACACACAATGAGTTTTTATTATTTTATGGCCCAAGTAGCAGCACAAAACAGTTAACGGAGAAAAATCATGAAGACAGAGGACAGTTTTTGTTTAGTTTTTCTGTGTGGTTGTGCTGCTTATTATTATGCAAATTATAAAATACATATTTTATAAATTACCTCAAGTGATATCTAACCAAACAGTTCAGATTTTATTTGCCCACAATGTGAAAAATGTTGACAAAAAGTTAATGTTTTGGTCAAAGGACCTTCATCAGCACAACTTCATGTTATCCAGAGTACAACATCCATTTGCCTCCATTGTATTGAGTTAGAAACGGAAATCTCACAACTTAGACAAATAAAAATAAAAACTGTATGACTTTATGAAACTATAAATCTGTATGCTCAGACTCCGTTAGTTGTAAGTTAAAAGTATTTTTTGTATTTTGGATGAAATGTAATAATTTGTGTGGTAGATTAAGGACCACAGCACTGCTTTTTAAAACAGGACTGGGAAACAGATGTGGGTTTATAAGACTTGATTTGATTAAACACAATGCCTCACAGGGAAGCTCAACCTTGCTTTATGCTCCACACCTTCTCACAACACTGTTTGGATTTCCTCCATGCATGTAGCGTTTCTATGATGGGATGTTTGGCAGTGTAAAATAAGTCTGTATTATGTTTCATGCAAACACTAACATTTACAAGTTAGCTCAGGTAAAACCCAAACTGCCCAAAAACTTCAATTGTATCATCACAGCACATAGAGTTCTATTTACTGAGACACAAAAACAAATGTCAGAAGTGTTTTAGCTGCTCCAGCACTAACACGCCACAGGAGAACGGCTGTGATGGAGGACGGGAACGTATTTGGCACGTTTACCGCTGACCTGTGGGACAACACTGCCACTTGTATCACACGTGGGGTTAAAGGTCAATTTTTCATGTCGCTGTATAGGGTTACAGGCAATTGGGCTGCCAGGTCTTTGTTCTGGACCAGTCCTGATAGACGAGCCTGCACAAATGGCTGCCATGATGAGGGATATGATGGAGAGCAGACGGGTATTTAGCCTGGTTGGATGGTCTGCATCAGGTCCACACATCCAGCAAATGCAACACCTTCCTATTTGAATTAAGTAATTGCCCAAATAAAGATTATCAGAGGCAATAAATCTTTTTATTTTCACTGTAAATGCGATCATCTCTTGTAAAACAAAACCTTGATTGCAACAGGACGTTTGAGGATGTGGTTAAAAATGTGGTTTTAAATGAGCGAAGAAAAACATCCAAATGTTTTTTTTCCTTCTGCCAAAACCTGCTGTGATTCTGCTCACAGTTTGTAGTGGACGTGCACACGAAAATAGTCTTAGAAGCAAAGAAACACACGTTAGTTCAATAATCATCTTTCATCAGCAGATGTATCACAGCACTCAAACCAAAACCCCCACAAACACATTATTAACGTCTTTAAAGCCCTTCCAGTTAAAAATGAACCCAAATAAACACAGACTAATCTTTTCGGTAATCTCCCATGCGACAGCAGATCCCGACTTTCCTGTTGGGATCTCTGTGTGGAGATTGCTTTGTGAGTTTATTGTGTTTGTCCAGCAGTTTGAGTCTGGTGCTGAGTTTTATTTTATGGTCGCAGGGCAGATGAAAGGTTTCCCTCCACTGGGCTTAGATAAACAGTAGTTCACAATCACAGGCGAGGCTGTATGAAAGGCTCAAAATGTGCCATGTAAACACACATTAGTCAGCATGTGGAATTATTCTCAAGAGCTCCAAATGTAACTGCTGCTAGATCATAAAAAGGGAAAGCGTTGAGTTAAAACTATGCCCACTACATCTAGTTAGTGTGAGGTGCTTCAGATAGTTAAACATTACATAAATGATTTGGAGTCTAATGAGTGCAACGGATTTGGATTTTATGTTGAGTGGAAAAAAAACTTTAAAAAACTGTATGCCAGAGGTGTGTGTGTGTGTGTGTGTGTGTGTTTATGGTGGTGATTTGAAGCAGAGTTCTGTAAACAGGATAAACAGAAGGTTTAAGGTGTGTGTGGGGGGGAGGGGCGACGTGTGATGTGTGTGTGAAGTGTTTTTGGGGGGCCCCTGTTATCAGTTAGCACGGCCCTCGGCAGCTGGCTCCTCAAGAGGAACACACACACACACTCACACACACACACACACAAAACCCATCTTGTTGAGGATTGATTTGGCGAGATGAGGCTTCCTGCTGTGCATAGAAAATAATTTCATTAAACTCTTAAGTCTGTAAATCAGCAATAAATCCAATATGCTCTCCAGTGGCCAAAATAATCATCTGTTCAATTATTAGTGGATTACAAAATGGTGCAACTCAGTGGACAACAATGTACACAAAGAGCATTTGTAAAACTCAAGCAGAGTTACAGCTATGGTATCCACTACTTCTACCAGTCATAGAGCCAATATGGCATCCTGACTATTTTTTTTTTTTTAAAGGTACTTTATTATCACATACACATACATGTTGTGAAATTCATTCTCTGCATTTAATCCAACCCTCAAGGGAGCAGTGGGCAGCCGCTGTGCAGTGTCCAGGGACCAACTCCAGATCTATGTCAGTGTCTGGTCAATGGCACTGACTGAAGAAACCTAACATGTTTTTAATAGGATATTGAAATGTATCCAAGCATATCAGAGATGATTTTATCACAAAAGTTTCTCTGAGGTTTCTGAGAGAATGGCTTGTGATTGAATATCACAGCAAAATAAAGCTATAGCTTCCCGTAAAGACCAAAACAACTGTCTGTAATTCTCACCATTCTGGATGGATTTCTGCACAGTACTTCATCACAATTATCACTGATTTTATTTATTTTAAGTATTCAAAAAGTATGAAAAAGCTAAAAGTGATCCTCTACACAGCAGTATAATTCAGTGGGGTGCTGTACAAATGCAGGCATAAAATCATCTGAAATCAGAAGAGAAGACTTT